GAGCCCAGCCCTGGCAGGGCCCTGTGTGTTCTCTCCCACAGCGCTACCTCTGGGCAAACGCCCGCTCCTCTGCTTTCTGTGACCACGTGCTGTGCAAGGGCTTAAACAAGGCCAAGTGGGCCCAGCAGCTCCCCTTGGGGAAAGGGCACCTTGGACTACCCGGTGGGAGAGATGCCCTCTGCCGCCCAGCATTGGGACACGAACGCTTAGCTATCACGGTGGAGGTGGGACTGGCCATCGTGTTCTGGCAGCTGGGTGTCTGCTGCGAGCACTGCGCTGTCTTGCAGCCCCTTCAGTGATTCTCTTGCCATAATTTGCAAGGTTGTAGGGGGATGTCTGTGAGGGGTTGGTGGGGCTGTTGGGACTCTGCCACATGGGGGCTTGCCTACAATGGGGTAGGTCTCCAGGTCCCAGTGGCTGCTTTCTATAGCTTTAAAGGGCTCCTACAACTGGGAGGGTCCCATTCTGGCTCCTCAGCAACTGCACCATGACCTACTGGAAAGGGCGTGAATGGCAGTCGGTGGTGCAGGCTGTGGCTATCTGGCAGAGCTTTTTTAGAATCTAGACACAGGCTGCCCTGGGGGTGCTACCCACCACCACTAAGTACACCACCACTGGGGACATCAGGGTTGGCTCCCTGGGTGGCCCAGGCTGGAAGTTATGTTGTTCCCAGGAACACAGAAGGTAACTGTATGTGGAGGTTATAGTACCCACTGCTCCCATTGTTGATGAAACCCTTTTCAAGTGAAATAGCATCCCAGGTGCAACAAGAATTTAATCACACTGTAGAGCCATCCCTGGACTTGGTGGGCAGGGCAGGCATTCTTGTTGTTAAGGAGCCACTAGCACATCCTCTGGAAACAAAATGACACAAGTATGACTTTCCCACCCACACTCATTGCTATTGCGTGCTTCGCCTGTAATTGCACATAAGGGTCAGGAAGAAGGCCTCCAGATGGGTGGCTCTACTGGATTGGAGGGAAGGAGGCGTTGGAGCAGCCAGGGGCCCCCAGAACAAGGAAGGGAGGAGGCAAGGAAGATTCAACCAACACCAGCCGCACCAGTCTTTGGGGGATGACCCTATGAGTGTATTTGGTCACACACTGTCATTCTCATCCCTCCTCACCAGCTCCCGAAGACTCAACCACGTAAGGCACAGAAAGGATTTTGACAAACTCAGGGCTTTTAATCTTGGCAGGAAGGACAAGGAAAACCAAAAATGAAGACTTGAGTAGGTTTTACTATTCTCCCACTGGGAATGGGGGAGGGGGAATGTCGAGTTTAATGAACATCTCCCCTCAGTTCTCCCAATTGCATTATCTTTGCTTTTGTTCTTCAAGACAAAGGGAAGGGAGAAAACTTTGGGTCAGTTGAGTGGTGCCCTGGGTGTTGGGACAAATGCTCAGAGAGGCTGGTAGGCGGGTTGACGTCTCCGTAAGATGCAAAAGATAACAAGCACCAGCATGAGGAGGCCGAGGATGATCAGGCCGATGATAAGAGGCAGCCATATGGATTGGTCACTGGGACAAGAGAAACCTGGCAGAAAGATAGGGCAAGTAGGCATCACAATGGTGGTAGTGGGATAAAGGTGAGAGGAAGGAATGTGGGGGGTGTTAGCAAATAGGCAGTTGGTGAGGAGAGATGACAGCAGTAAATGGAAGGGGGAGAATGGCAGTCTTGTAGAGAAGGGGAGGGCAGTTGCCTGGAGTAGGGGCTTTCAGTGCAGTGGGAGAGTTCAAGGAGGGAAGTAGGTCTTACTTGGCCCAAAGGCTCCTGTAGGGGGTAGGCGAGCAGCTTGTAGTTTCAGGAAGAGCAGGTCGAGGTGGAAAGCTGGTGAAAGAATGATGCTTGCATTTCTGCAGTTGAAGCTCTGGCCCAAAGGGGCTTGGAGTTCTTGAAGAGATGAATTCTGAACTGAGAATGTCCGCTCTAAAAGAGTAAGGAACAGTCAGCTCTATATCCATATCCCCAGCCCCCAGCTTACATCCCTTTAGGAGTCCAGATATCCAGTACAGGTGATGAGAAAGTTACTCACGTATTGCTTGTGGGAAAGACACATTGTACTCCAAAGCCATATAGTTCAGGTAAACAATGCTCTGCAGTGGTTCCTGCAGAAGTGACCAGGAAGGCTCAGGGCAGCAGGGGGAGAGTGGTGTTCATGTCCACAGAGGAGGGAATGTAGCAAGGGGTTGATAGGGATAGGGTACTTGGAGGGTGAGAGGGGGATGAGGGGTGAGGTACCTGCTTGAATCCAAAGCTGAGCTGTCCATAGGGGAATGAGAGAAGCAAGTGGGGATGGGCACCCTCACAGCCTCCCTGGGCCTTGGTTTTGTTGGGGTTCAGTACAGAGATGCCCCAGGCCTGTGGAAGTTAAGAGGGTAACAAGGCTACACAGCCATGCCATCTAAGGTGCCTTTTTTTCAACCCCACCGTTTATCGGTCCCCTTCTCTTCCTTCCCTTCTGAGCCCTAGCAGACATTCTCATCCCCTTACCCCTTTTAGCTTTACCTCTCCTCCACCTTGGATTGGGTACAGAACTCGAATCTGAATCTGGGCTTGTAGATGGACGCAGGGCAGGGAACCATTAGTCCAAGTGTAGTCTCCTATAGCCGCCTTGGAGCCTGGGCTAGGACTTGGAGAGGGTGGAGGTGGTCCTGGATGGGGGGAACTTGTAAAAGATCCTGGACTGGTGGTAGTGCTGTTGCTTGGATGAACTGTAGCATTTCCATGACTTGTTGTGCTGACAGGATTGTGAGTGGCTGTTGTGGGTCCATGGCTGGTGCCTGTGGTGGTAGTTCTATGGCTGGTGCCTGTGGTGGTGGTTCTGTAGCTGGTGCCTGTGGTGGTGGTTCTGTAGCTCTTGGTAGTTCTGTGGCTGGTTGTTCCGGGGCTACTTGTGCCTTCTGTGGCTGTAGGTGTCACCGTGAAGGATGGCAGCAGAGTGGCAGATTTTTTATGAGGACAGTCATTCCCCGTCCCCTGGGCTTTCAGAAGAAAGACCAGTTAGCAACCCAGGGGCAGGCTCCTTCCTAGGGGCTTTCTCCCCCAAGCCCCTTTTTCCTTACCTGCTAGTAGCCCCAGCAAGGCCTCCAAGAAAAGCACAGCAAGCCTCATGGCGGAACAGCCTCACCCAGAGTTCTTTCTAGGTTGTCAGTACTGGCTGCTCACCCAGTCTACCCTATTCCCTGCTTTCTTTTAGAAAAGGAGGAAATGAAAGTCTTTAACTTCCTATAATTTAAAATAATCCTACCCCCCAACCTGACTCAGGCACCTCAGCCCCAGCCACCAATCTCTTAGTCACTTTTTGTCATTAGATGATTGGCCCTGGCTTCACTGAAGGGAGTTACCAGATTAATGTAGGGAGAATGAGTTGGGAGGAGTTTGAAGCAGTTGACCCTTGGGGACCCATTTGTCTACCTTAGCAAAACCCAACAGTTGTGCAAGTGATTACAGAACCAGTTGAGAAGCAACCTCGTTTCCAGAGAAACCCAGAAAACGTTCAATGTAAAAATCAAGTTGCCAGTCCCATTTCTCCCTCCATCACTTCCTCTTGAGACATGTGAGGCACTTGTGATGATGATGGCCCACCTCCTTACAGAAAGGTCACACTATTCAGTACAACCATTGTAGCCAAGCAACAAAAGGGTAAATGTTAACTGGTAGGGGGAGAATATATACCCCATAGCAGGTGGGACGGGGAAGAAATGAGAAGCCCGAACAGGCAGTTTCCAAGTAATTTTATTCAGAATTTTGTGTGTTTCCTGAATCAATAAATACTATACAAAACAATGTAAAAATGGCTACTATTTTTTTCTCCCCTTCTCCCCCCCCCCCC